GAGCTAAAAGAATATATTCTAACTCAATGCAAAGAAACTAAGAACCTTGAAAAAAGATTTGAAAAAATGATAACAAGAATGGACAACTTAGAGAGGAATGTGAGTGAATTGAAGGAGCTGAAAAACACAACATGAGAACTTCACGAAGCATGCACAAGTTTCAACAGCCGAATTGACCAAGCAGAAGAAAGGATATCAGAAGTTGAAGATGAACTCAATGAAATAAAATGAGAAGGCAAGATTAGAGAAAAAAGCACAAAAAGGAATGAACAAAGTCTCCAAGAAATGTGGGACTATGTGAAGAGACCTAATCTATGTATGATAAGTGTACCTGAATGTGATGGAGAGAATGAATCCAAGCTGGAAAATACTCTTCAGGATATTATCCAGAAAAATTTCCCCAACCTAGCAAGGCAGGCCAATATTCAAGTCCATGAAACACAGAGAACACCACAAAGATATTCCTAAAGAAGAGCAAACCCAAGGCACATAATTGTCAGATTCACCAGGGTTGAAATGAAGGAGAAAATACTAAGGGCAGCCAGAGAGAAGGGTCAGGTTACCCACAAAGGGAAGCCCATCAGACTCACAACAGATTTCTCAACAGAAACCCTACAAGCCAGAAGAGAGTGGGGGCCAATATTCAATATCCTTAAAAAAAAGAACTTTCAACCCAGAATTTCATATCCAGCCAAACTAAGCTTCATAAGTGAAGGAAAAATAAAATCCTTTGCAAACAAGCAAGTACTCAGAGATTTTGTCACCATCAGGCCTGCTTTACAAGAGCTCCTGAAAGAGGCACTACACATAGAAAGGAACAACCAGTATCAGACATTCCAAAAACATACCAAATGCTAAAGAGCATCAACAAAATGAAGAATCTGCATCAACTAATGGGCAAAACAGTCAGCTAGCATCAAAATGACAGTATCAAATTCACACATAACAATATTAACCCTAAATGTAAATGGGCTAAATGCCCCAATCAAAAGACACAGACTGGCAAATTGGATAAAAAACCAAAACCCATCCGTGTGCTGTATCCAGGAAACCCACCTCACATGCAAGGATACACAAAGGCTCAAAATAAAAAGATGGAGGAAGATTAACCAAACAAATGGAGAACAAAAAAAACCAGGAGTTGCAATTCTCGTCTCTGATAAAATAGACTTTAAAGCAACAAAAGTCAAAAGAGACAAGGAAGGACATGACATAATGGTAAAAGGATTGATACAACAAGAAGAGCTAATGATTCTAAATATATATGGACCCAATACAGGAGCACCCAGATATATAAGGCAAGTTCCTAATGACTTACAAAGAGACTTAGACTCCCACATAATAATAGTGGGAGACTTTAACACTCCACTGTCAATATTAGACAGATCAACCAGACAGAAAATTAACAAGGATATCCAGGACTTGAACTCAGACCTGGAACAAGCAAATCTGATAGACATTTACAGAACTCTCCACCCCAAATCCACAGAATATACATTCTTCTCAGCACCACATCACATCTACTCTAAAATTGACCACATAATTGGAAGTAAATCACTCCTCAGCAAATGCAAAACAACTGAAATCATAACAAACAGTCTCTCAGACCACAGTGCAATCAAGTTAGAACTCAGAATTCAGAAACTAACTCAGAACCGCACAACTTCATGGAAAACTGAACAACTCTTGAATGTTGACTGGATAAACAATGAAATGAAGGCAGAAATAAAGATGTTCTTTGAAATCAATAAGAACGAAGACACAACATACCAGGATATCTGGGACACATTTAAAGCAGTCTCTAGAGGAAAATACATAGCAATAAGTGCCCACATGAGAAGAGTGGAGAGATCCAAAATCGACACCCTAATGTCAAAATTGAAAGAGCTGGAGGAACAAGATCAAAAAAACTCAAAACGTAGCAGAAGACAAGAAATAACTAAGATCAGAGCTGAACTGAAGGAGATAGAGACACGAAAAACCCTTCAAAAAAATCAATAAATCCAAGAGCTGGTTTTTAGAAAAGATCAAGAAAATAGACAGACTACTAGCCAGACTTATAAAAAAGAAAAGAGAGAATAACCAAATAGATGCAATAAAAAATGATAAAGGGGAAATCACCACAGATTCCACCGAAATTCAAACCATCATCAGAGAATATTACAAACAACTATGCACATAAACTAGTAAACCTGGAAGAAATGGATAAATTCCTGGACACTTGTGTCCTCCCAAGCCTAAACCTGAAGAAGTCAAAACCATGAATAGACCAATAACAAAATCTGAAGTTGAGGCAGCAATTAAGAGCCTACCACCCAGAAAAAAAAGCCCAGCTCCAGATGGGTTCACAGCCGAATTCTACCAGACACACAAAGAGGAGCTTGTACCATTCCTTCTGAAACTATTCCAAATAATCCAAAAAGAGGGAATCCTTCCCAAATCATTTTATGAGACCAACATCATCCTGATACCAAAACCCGGCAGAGACTCAACAAGAAAAGAAAACTTCAGGCCAATATCCATGATGAACATAGATGCAAAAAACTTCAATAAAATACTGGCCAGCTGATTGCAACAGCACATCAAAAAGCTTATCCACCATGATCAAGTAGGATTCATCCTGGGGATGCAAGGCTGGTTCAACATATGCAAGTCTATAAACATAATTCACCACATAAACAGAACCAAAAACAAAAACCACATGATTATCTCAATTGATGCAGAGAAGGCCTTTGATAAAATTCAAGAGCCCTTTATGCTAAAAACCCTCAATAAACTCAGTATTGATGGAACATATCACAAAATAATAAAAGCTATATACGACAAACCAACAGCCAATATCATACTGAATGGGTGAAAACTGGAAGCATTCCCTCTGAAATCTGGCACTAGACAAGGATGCCCTCTCTCACCACTCCTATTCAATATAGTACTGGAAGTTCTAGCCAGAGCAATCAGGCAAGAAAAAGAAATAAAGGGTATTCAAATAGGAAAGGAGGAAGCCAAAGTGTCTCTATTTGCAGATGACATGATAGTATATCTAGAAGACCTCATCGTCTCAGCCCAAAAACTCCTGAAACTGATAAGCAACTTCAGCAAAGTCTCAGGATATAAAATCAATGTGCAAAAATCACAAGCATTCCTATACACCAATAACTGACTTAAAGAGAGCCAAATCAAGAATGAACTGCCATTCACAATTGCTACAAAGAGAAAAAATACCTAGGAATACAACTAACAAGGAACGTAAGGACCTCTTCAAGGAGAACTACAAACCACTGCTCAATGAAATAAGAGAGGACACAAACAGATGGAGAAACATTCCATGTTCATGGTTAGGAAGAATCGATATCGTGAAAATGGCCATACTGCCCAAAGTAATTTACAGAATCAACGCTATCCCCATCAAGCTACCATTGACTTTCTTCACAGAACTGGAAAAAACCCCCTTGAACTTCATATGGAACCAAAAGAGAGCCCACATAGCCAAGTCAATTCTAAGCAAAAAGAACACAGCAGGAGGCATCACACTACCGGACTTCAAACTATACTACAAGGCTACAGTAATCAAAACAGCATGGTACTGGTACCAGAACACAGATATAGACCAATGGAACAGAAGAGAGGCATCGGAGGCAACACAACATATCTACAACCATACAATCTTTGATAAACCTGACAAAAACAAGCAATGGGGAAAGGATTCCCTGTTTAACAAATGGTGTTGGGAAAACTGGCTAGCCATGTGCAGAAAGCAGAAACTGGACCTCCTCCTGACACCTTACACTAAAATTAACTCCAGATGGATTAAAGACTTAAACATAAGACCTGGCACCATAAAAACCCTAGAAGAAAATCTAGGCAAAACCATTCTGGATATAGGAGTAGGCAAGGACTTCATGACCAAAACACAAAAAGCATTGGCAGCAAAACCCAAAGTAGACAAATGGGACCTAATCAAACTGCACAGCTTCTGCACGGCAAAAGAAACAGTCATTAGAGTGAATTGGCAACTAACAGAGTGGGAAAACATTTTTGCTGTTTACCCATCTGACAAAGGACTGATATCCAGAATTTACAAAGAACTAAAACAGATTTACAAGAAAAAAACAAGCCCATTCAAAAATGGGCAAAGGATATGAACAGACACTTTACAAAAGAAGACATACATGAGTCCAACAAATATATGAAAAAATGTTCATCATCACTGGTCATCAGAGACATGCAAGTGAAAACTACATTGAGATGCCATCTCATGCCAGTTAGAATGGCGATCATTAAAAATCTGGAGACAACAGATACTGGAGAGGATGTGGAGAAATAGGAACACTTTTACACTGCTGGTGGGAGTGTAAATTAGTTCAACCATTGTGGGAGACAGTGTGGCGATTCCTCAAGGCCTTAGAAATAGAAATTCCATTTGACCCATCAATCCCATTCCTGGGTATATATCCAAAGGACTATAAATCGTTCTACTATAAGGACACATGCACACGAATGTTCATTGTAGCACTGTTTACAACAGCAAATACCTGGAACCAACCCAAATGCCCACTGATGATAGACTGGACTGGGAAAATGTGGCACATATACACCGTGGAATATTATGCAGCAATCAAAAACTATGAGTTTGTGTCCTTTGTAGGGACATGGATGATTCTGGAGAACATCATTCTCAGCAAACTGACACAAGAACAGAAAATGAAATACCACATATTCTCTCTCATAGGCGGGTGATGAACAATGAGAACACATGGACATAGGGAGGGGAGCACTACACACTGGGGTCTATTGGGGGCAATAGGGGAGGGACAGTGAGAGGGGGAGCTGGGGAGGGATAGCATGGGGAGAAATGCCAAATGTGGGTGAAGGGGAGGAAGACAGAAAATCACACTGCTATGTGTGTACCTATGCAACTATCTTGCATGTTCTGCACATGCACCCCAAAACCTAAAATGCAGGAAAAAAAAGAGTATATAAGAATATCAAATAACACTTACCTATGCCCTCTAAATGCCAATATGTCATATCAGATGTAATTACACCATCTGCATTTTGAGCTTCCACCTCAATGGTACAATTATCTGGGTTCGTTATTCTTGGAAGGAAAAAAGAGCACGAAGCACGATTTTCACTTGCAGAACTATTGGTTGTACAATTATCATGCTTTCTTCCATAAGAACTTTGAAGGAAAAAGTGATTCAACATGAATTTAGTACAATGGTTTGGAAACATGGCCATACTTAATGTATTAAGCAGTATTTGTTAGTTTTACTCTGGGTTTCTCTTGAGAATTGCATAGTCCAGGATACTTGGTTATCCTCTTTCCAAATTCCTTTTTCATCTCCAAGGAAAGGTAAAGGTTACCTGTTTTCAACCAGTTGAGATGCTCAGGAGCCATAAAAACCTCTTTAGATCCCTGTAAGCCATGAAAAGCTACAGCAGCAATGCATGTCTTATTGGCAAGAAATCATGAGTAGGCCCCAGAAAACTCCAGATTCTAGCCTTAAAAATTTATTCTTTTACAAACGTATATAAAAATTTATTCATATATATGAATTTTTATTTGTTAAATAAATTATGGCAGATACATAAATTGAATTTAAAATGATGGTTTTTAATAGACTGTATTTATTGATATGGAAAGATGCACCTACTGCTGGTGAACAAAAGTAGGATGCATATCATATATGGAATGATCACAGTTACATAAACATATAGATATTTACATAACTATTTTTGGAGATATCTAGAGAGATCAAAATGTTCAAGCTGTCACCTTTGGCGGTGTGGGTTCTGGGTAACTTTTTACATTCTTTATAATTTTTCAGATTGAATTTTTGAACATTGGTATATACTGTTTTCAGAAAATTCTTTAAAACAAATGATAGACAATATCAAGTTGTAACTTAACAAAAACAAACACACATATTAGTAAAAATTGTTGGGTGGTTCCAGTTCTGGTTCACATGGTTCTGGGGACTGTGGAGGAGATAAAGCAGACTGAGAACAGAAAAGAAGGCCCACCTTGCAAAGTACCAGGGTTTGCTGGTGTGTGGGAAGGAATTGGAGCTTAGACACATAGAATCATGGCATTTTGAAACTAGAAAGGGCCTCAAGAGTGGTTGATGGTTATTTTACAGCATAAAAATGGCCTCCAGGGCAGCGTGTCTTGATCATAAGCACAGGTTCTAGAATCAGACCAGGTTTGAATCTTGGCTTTGCACCTATTAACTGTGTGACTTGGGCAAGTTCTTTAACCTGTCTGCCTTAGTTTTTTCATTCGTAAAACAAGGACAGTAATATATCGATAGCATAGAGTTGTAAGGATGAAATAAGCTAGTACGCATAAGGCCTTTTAGAATGTCCAGCACAGAGACAATAAATGTGAGCTGTTATTATTACTATTATTGTAGTTGAATATTTCTGCATTTATTCATGCTGTGACCTTTGAGAAACAGCCTTTCTCTCGTTTTCCACGCCTCTAGACATCCTTTGAGCCTCAGTTTAAAAATCACTACCTCCATGACGGCATCCCCAAATCCTCCTTTTTCCCCCCCAGGGAAAATTCTTTCCTACTGTTTCTGGACAGCAGAAGGTTTTTGGTTTATTCCATGATCCACTGTAAAGGGCTTCCAGGTTGGCCATCCATGAGGAAACCCTTCCACTTTGCTTGGAAGAGATACTCTGGTGATAAACTCACAAAAATGCAAGAAACTTAGGAGTTCTGGCTGGCCTGAGGCCATCAAGGGGAGCTGGGTATAGGCCTGGTGGAACACCCAGGGGTTTTCTATTTCTCTAAAGCCAACTGGTGACAATAATGACAACCCAAAGGGAAACATGGAGGAAAGGGGGAAATGTCTCTATAAAACAGAAAAATAGGAGTAAACCAGGTACCCAGATTCTCATTCTACTAGTAATTGATATTCAACACTAGGACTAGAACTGACAAATCTGGAAGAAAAGTCATTTGGATCATGAGCTATTGCATCTTTATCATTCTTATTTTCTAAAACGGGGATGAGCAAATGACAGCCTGAGGTCAAATATAGCCCATCTCTTGTTCTTGCACAGCCTGCAGGCTTAAAACTATTTACATGTTGTTAATGGTTGAAAAATAAATAAAACAAAGAAAAATAGTTTAGGACATGTGAAAATTATTTGAAACTCACATTTCAGTGTCCATGGATGAAGTTTTATTGGAAAGCAGCCACACCCATTGGTTTACATATTGCCTATGGCTGGGTGAATGCTGTAACAGCAGTGTTGAAAAGTTTTGACAGGGACCAATCTCCTTCTAAATATTATTATATTTACCATCTGGCCCTTTACAGGAAAAGTTTGCTGATTCCTGTTTTAAAGCATCTCTCCGACATAGGTCCTTGTAACTATATCAGTGCTGCAGAGAATACTGCTTGTTTTTTTCATTTATTCCACTGTAAAACATAAAGTGAACTTCCCTTGCAACATGAGATTTTGCTTAAAAACAAAGAATTTAGAATCACAGACTGTTTTGAAATGAAAAGGCTAAAAAGATAATCTTACAATGCTTCCCAACATGAGCCCCCTTATTCATTTTTCACAGGAAGGAAGTAATGAGCTATGCTCAAAATTTTTGTTAAAAAAGGATGGGCACAGTGGCTCGCGTCTGTAATCCCAGCACTTTGGGAGGCTGAGGTGGGTGGATCATTAGAAATCAGGAGTTCGAGACCAGCCTGGCCAACATGGTGAAACCCTGTCTCTACTAAAAATATAAAAGTTGGCCAGACATAATGGTGTGCACATGTAATTCCAACTACCTGGAAGGCTGAGACAGGAGAATATCTTGAACCTGGGAGGTGGAAGTTGCAGTGAGCTGAGATTACACCACTGCACTCCAGCCTGGGCAAGAGTGAGATTGTCTAAAAAAAAAAAAATTAACCTGCAAATATTCACTTAAAACATCTAGCTTTTGATTAGAATTATAACTAAAAACTATAAAATGTTCATTCTACAGAATTGGAATAAAGAGGGATGGTTAAGATAGTGAAAAAAAATGGGGAATCATTGTCCTGTGGAATACTGTTTGACAGAGGTCACATAGCAAGTTAGTGGCAGACCATGGTCAATCACCTCTTAGTTCTGGCTTTACAACCCTGTATACTATATCCGGATCCGGAAAGAATGAACAGCGTTATAACACATTCTGGAAAGAGGCAGGGTATAGCTGGGTGTAGTAAATAAACAGATTTTTCCACTGTGCTTATAACTGGTGACTGATCTCAGCCAATGGGGAATCCAGGAGGAGGTCACCATTGGCTTTGCCTCCTCCCTTCCCTCTGCAGCTGCAGATCCACAAGCCACTGGATGCACACAGTGGTCACCCAGAAGCTGTCATCGAGGAAACTTTTTACTTCATATGCGATGTGAATCATGAATGAATCAGGAGCCTCTGCCTCCCCCATGGCCCCAATGGTAAAACACAAGCTTCTGTACTTACTAAGTTCTCCTAACTGTGTACTGGGTATAAGTGGTTTCCTCTCCTGGACTCCAAGTGCAAGTTAAATTTTTCCTATAGTAGTAGACACAAGAAATGTTCTCAGGCTTAGCAGGCAGAGCTAAAGAAAAAACAAAAAAAAACACACACAAACACAAAAATTTCAGTACACAATAAATATTGCCAACATTGAACATTTTAATGGAAAATAAGCTGATCAAAAGCTAGATTTTTTTGGTTACTTGCTAGGTGTAATGGGTTCTCCCAGTCAGGTTTGATGGTAAGAATCTAACTTCATTTCTTTAATTATTCCCTTTGAAGAGCTAGATTTCTACTTTTTTTTTTTTGGAGATGGAGTCTCGCTTTGCCACCCAGGCTGGAGTGCAGTGGTGCAATCTCGGTTCACTGCAACCTCCGCCTCCTGGGTCCAAACGATTCTGCTGCTTCAGCCTCCTGGGTAGTAGGGACTACAGGCGCGTGCCACCATACCCGGCTAATTTTTTGTATTTTTAGTAGAGACGGGGTTTCACCATGTTAGCCAGGATGGTCTCAATCTCCTGACCTCATGATCTGCCCCCCTCGGCCTCCCAAAGTGCTAGGATTACAGGTGTCAGCCACCATGCCCGGCCTAGATTTCTACTTTTTAAGAAATCATTTTTTACAATCTTACTTAAAAGTAACATTTGAGAAGCAAGCATTTTAAAAACACCAAGTAAATATAAAGTATTTGTGATATACTCAGTAAAGCATCAAATGGTAGCATCATTCTGGATAATCCACAGGTAACAGATGACGAGAGCATAAGCAAGAGATACAACCATGCCACGCTTCAACCATGTGTATCAACGGTTTTCTTTTCCAGAAGATCATACAATGGAAAAATTTATGAAATAGCTTCAACTGTATCTTCATATCTTATAAATCTTGCTCCTGATAGCTTCCCACCCCATAGCATCCGCACTTCCATAGGGAAACCAGACACTACCCTCTAGAACAGGGACCTAGACCTTTAAGGGGTCTATGCGTAGAATTCAGGGGTCTGTGAACTTAAATGGGGAAAATTTACATCTTTTCCACTAATCTACTGGTGAAATTTAGAATTTCCTTCCATCATAAATGCAATCAACAAACTACAGTAATAGTGTCATAGCCTGTGACTTTGTCACCATTATAAGTCACAAATATTTTCATATCATATTTTGATTGCTGCAGATACCTTAAAATACTTACATGGTTTAGCTGTGTTCCCACACAAATCTCAACTTGAATTGTATCTTCCAGAATTACCACGTGTTATGGGAGGGAGCCAGGGAAAGGTAACTGAAGCATGGGGGCCGATTTTTCCTGTGCTATTCTCCTGATAGTGAATAAGTCTCACGAGATCTGATGGGTTTATCAAGGCTTTGCACTTTTACTTCTTTCTCATTTTCTCTTGCTGTTGCCATGTAAGAAGTGCCTTTTACCTGCCACCATGGTTCTGAGGCCTCCCTAGCCATGTGGAACTATAAGTCCAATTAAACCTATTTTTCTTCCCAGTCCTGGGTATATCTTTATCAGCAGCATGAAAATAGACTAATACAAATATGAAAAATATTATCACTATTTCTGAATTAAAATAATTATTAGTAGTAGACTTAAGGCAATTATTAAGTCTTCTTATTTAATGTGTTAATAAAGAAGACCACATATTACCAGATCACAAATTTGTTTCTTTAATATTTTGATGATTTCATTTCAGTATATTTTGGTTCCTTTATAATTCTATTTATTTTATGTATTTACAAACATTGTTTTGAGAATTAGCCCATGGCTTCACTAGATGACCAAGGGGTTGATCATAAACACACACACACACACACACACACACACACCCCTAAAAACTAAGAGCAGTTTTAGACTAAGGGCCATGTTCAGCTCTGAGGCTTATACTTGCTTCTTTGTTGAGCCTTTGGCAAGGCCACAGTCTTAAGAAGCAGGCAGTTTTGAGAGAGGAGGGCAACTACCTAAATTACCTTTACATATCAAAGGAAGCTCTAGTGCTTCCTAGGAAGAAAGTCTCTAGCAGACAAAAAGTAGGAAAAAGTTGATCATTTTTAACAAGTAAGTATAAGGGCAGGGATGGGAGGGAATGAAAGGAAGGTAGAGCAAAGAATTCTGATGTCAGTGTTCTTGATAGAGCGGTATAAACATGTGGATGGGTCTCATGCACCAAGGTCATCTGGCTGGTAGCCTATTTCACCAGGTACAGCAAGCCTGGGGAGGTTGCCAGGCTGTAATCTAGCAGGGTTCCTCAACCGCTGGGCAAGGTATGGGTCCATGGCTTGTTAGGAACTGGGCCACATAGCATGAGGTGAGCAGCAGGTGAGCAAGCTTTACGGCCTGAGCTCTGCTGCCTCAGAACAGCAGCACCATTAGATTCTCATAGGAGCTGAATCCTACTGTGAATTGCACATGGCAGAGTTTGCTTGCTCCTTATGAGAAACTAACTAATGCCTGATAATCTGAGGTATAACAGTTTCATCCCAAAACCATCCCCCCACTCTAAACCCAACCCCCTGTCCATGGAAAAGTTGTCTTCCATGAAACCAACCAGTCCCTGGTGCCAAAAAGGGTGGGGACCACTAGTCTAGGGGAAGCCTCATGTTCCACTAAGCACCAACTCTGTGGTGGCATGGAAGTCCTAACAATGTGCTGGCAGAAGGTGGCCTGTTGCAGCTCTTCAGGCGAGCTCCATGCAGGTGAATGTAGCACACAGGGGTCCAGAACTTTCCCTGTGCCCTCAAAGAGTGGGGTGAGGATACAGCCATGAGACTGAAGCAGGCCTGGGATTAAGATGAAGCAGCTTCCATACACAGAGGAACTTCAGAACTACCAGCAAACAAATGGAGCATAAGCTTCAGGAGGAGGCATTGGTATGGTGGCCCAAAGCACGGGCAAAGCCAGCTGTTCCATGGCAGATGGCAGAGGGGGGTCAGACCACACCAGACAGTTCAGGGGAGATAGAGAACAACAGGGGGACTTGCTCCCATGGATCCAGAGGCCCTTACCAAGACTGCAGTCATGTAAACCTTGCGCATATATTTAGACACCATCTTAAAGAGAAGCAGAGGGAGGAACCCCCAAGAGACTGAGTTAGCCAAAGACACCTACCAGAAGCAATGACACAATGTTAACAAATTTAAGTGCTACCCATACCCTCCTCTTCTTCACCCTTGCTTAACTGTCCAGTGGTGGGGGACTTTTGAAATTGATTTGTTTGATCATAGAAAATAGGAACGTTCTATTTCTCTGCACATATGAATATTATATATGTTTCCACTCTGTCAGAGGTATTACCCTATAACAAGAAGGTGGCGTAAAGCGGTTCCAGAAAGGATGGCATTCGTTGTTTTAAGTTTGGAATTTTAAAAGGGCTGTACATGTGTGTGTTTGTATATACATTCATATATTTGGTCTATGAACTGAGCTTTGTCTATATGGGTAAAGGAGCCACTGAGAATGACAAATGAGGGTGAGGCAGAGCTAGGTGGCTTCCTGTTGTGACATTTCTAGCTCTCTCTAGAGAAGCTGCCTTCCTCCTAGTCCTGCACATGAACCTGGCTCTCATAGCACCCATCCAACAAGCAGTTCAAAGGCTTTCTATCTTTGCTACTTGCACACTGAAAACCATGACAAAGGCAGTGATTTCCAGACCAAAGTTAACTGGATCTGAATCAAATAATACTGCACGTTACATAGAGATTGAACACTACACCATTAGCATTCCTCAAAGAGCCCACACAGCTTGGAATCCTCTCTGGGGATGTTTGTGGTAAGCAAGCAAATGTTAAGAAACCCCATGCCTCCCAACTGTCAGGAGGAATGTGCAAAGTCCTCCAAGGGGTAAACCACGGGTTAGTGTACAACACCCAGGTGGAATAACTCACACACTGGCCCACTCAGTCTGTCTCCGTGGCTCACAGATAAGGGCAGTGCATGTAAGGTGCATGTGTATGTGTGTGTGTGTATGGGATGTGTGTGTAGTGTGCGGTGTGCATGTAATGTGTATAATATGTATGTGATGTGTGTGTGGTATGGGTAGTATGTGCATAGTATATGTGTGAATGGTATGTGTGTGTGATATGTATGTACCGTGTATGTGGTATGTGTATGTAGCATGTGCAGGATATGTGCAGTATATGTGTGGTATATGTGCAGTGTGTATGATGTTTTTTCAAAAATTTTAAATTAATTAATTAATTTATTTTGAGACAGAGTCTCGCTCTGTCACCAGGCATCAGGCTGGAGTGCAGTGGTGCAATCTTGGCTCACTGCAAACTCTGCCTCCCAGGTTCAAGCAATTCTCCTGCCTCAGCCTCCTTAGTAACTGGGACTACAGGTGCGCAGCACCACACTCAGCTAATTTTTTGTATTTTTTAGTAGAGATGGGGTTTCACCATGTTGTCCTGGATGGTCTTGATCTCTTGACCTCGTGATCCGCCCACCTCAGCTTCCCAAAGTGCTGGGATTACAGATGTGATAAAATTTTTAAATTTATTTATTTTCGAGATGGAGTCTCCCAGGGTAGAGTGCAGTGGTGTGATCTCGGCTTACTGCAACCTCCGCCTTCTGGGTTCAAGCGATTTCCCTGCTTCAGCTCCTCAAGTAGCTGAGACTACAGGCACCCACCACCATGCTGGGCTGATTTTTGTATTTTTAGTAGAGACAGGGTTTCACCATATTGGCCAGGCTGGTCTTGAACTCCTGACCTTGTTATCTCCTCGCCTCAGCCTCTGAAAGTGCTGGGATTACAGGCATGAGCCACTATGCCCAGCCTGTGATGTATTTATAATGCATGTATAGTGTGTGTCTGCTGGAGTGTGTGTTGGTGTGTTTGTGTGGTATGTGTTACATGTGGGGTGTGTGTGGTATGTGTGACATGATTATAGTGTGTATGTGTGTAGTGCGGTGTGTGTGGTATGTTTATGGTGTGGGCATGGTGTGTGTGATGTATACGTGCAGTATGTATGGTTGTATGGAGTGTGTGTGTCTGTGTGTATATATGTGGGTCTATCCTTAGTCTCTGGCCAAGTTTCTTAAAAATATGCACACAGGGGTAGCCTGCTCCATCCCCATTTCGCT